CCTGAGTCCATGGTCAGTGGCGGAGCTAGACCAAAACCATTGGGGTGCGAAACGTAAATGACAAATAGCTGGGGGAGGCTAATTTTCACCTCATCTTGGCCCTTCAAAAAAATTCTTCAGGGTTTTCTCCAAAGCTGGGAGGGCCACGGCCCCCCTCGGCCCCACATAGCTCCGCCGTTGTCCATGGTTGTCACCTCCTCAAGCTTCAGCCGCAACAACAGTCCCTACAACATTATCTCTATTGCATAAATTTTCTGCAACTTGACTTTTGTTGCAAAAAAAGTCTGCAAGTATTTCTGCAACATCATCTCTACTGCAAAAAATTTCAGCAACACGATCTCTTTGCACATGTTTCTACAACACGACTTACGTTGTCTAATGTTTCTGCAACACGACCTATGTTGCAGAAACAGAGGATGACGCTCGGGCACTAGATTGAGCATGATCCGACGGCTCACCAGGCGGCGAATTGTTTCAAATGATCCGCTGACCTACGCGTAGCACGCCCCAAACTTGATCTATCAGAACTCGTTAAATTTTAACACATTTTAACTTTTCCCGCTAAACAAAGGGAAATGATTGTCATCGCCCGACGGATCCGCAATGTTTGTCCGCCGCCTTGCACGATCGACACGTTCCTTGTGGGCCCTCACACGTCTCCATGTCCTGAAACAACGCCCAGCCATGCTTTCCTCTCTCTTACTCGCATTATCTTCTTCCTCCGCTACAGATTAGGCCGAGGCGCTGGCAGCCGGCCACCCGCCGCTGCACACACCTGACGGGCCAGCGTCTCTGCCGCCGGCGAACAGGCTGGAGGTCAGGTCGCCATGGATCCCTCGCCGAGATCCTTCCGCAAACACATGGTGCTGCCGACAGTATTGCTCGGCAAACAGGTTGCACTCGGCAAAGGCACTGTTTGCCGAGGGCCATCAGGTCACACTCGGCAAAGTATTGCCACGTGGAACAGTCGGCAACGACTAACGGCACGGCGACGGCTGTAACACTTTGCCAAGAGTGGCTCTCGGCAAACATTTAGTCCCACCTCGGTCTTCATTAGTAAGAGTCTGTACAGTCAACTAGCAAAAATTCATAGTGGTTGTCGTATTCTAAAATTGGATGCTGGCGTTTTTTCAAATTTATGATCCACGCTGTTACCGAGAGGGGCTCTCGGCAACAGTGAAGTTTCCGAGAGTGTCTTTCGGTAATTATAACGCCACCATCAAAGTTTAGTCCCACCTCGCTTAGAGACAAGCAACGAAACTTGTTTAAATAGTGGGAATGTCCACATGCGGTAAGCTTCGGTATTCATTAAGCTCTTGTTAAGGAGATGGACTATCACTTTGGATGTTCACCTGTCTCGACCAGAGAACATTCAAAGTGATAGCCATCTTCTTAATGGTGGATGCCTGCATTTTTTTTAATTAATGGTGGATGGCGGTGTTTTTTTAATTAATGTTGTCTTAATGGTGGAAGCCGGCATTTTTTTAATTAATAGTGTCATCACAGGGCCCTGAGCTTGTAAATTGCACTGTCTCCGAGCTAGTATCTGGGTATCGAGAGGGAATTTGTCCGGTTTGTGCAAGAAGTGTTGGTCCTGTTTCTCCGTTGGCCCCGAGACTTCTCATGCTCTAAGAGGGGGCAACCGGATGGCACGTGCCACGGCCTCGCATTTTTCTGGGACGCGTGCAATATTCGAGAAATTTATTGCTCTGCTAGAGTTTCATCGCCCGGAACTGCAGATCAGCAAGGCAGCACATGAAATCACGCCCGATAGCGGCATGGGAAATCATTTGTGATGTCCTTGTGGCATGCCTAGGCCTTGCAGACACGAGGGAGGGGCACGCCCTGCCACCGGGTTACTGAAAGTACCTCAGTGTCATTCCTGATGCAACCATTGAAATCCTCGAAAAATCGTATGATGGTAAGATTGCCCGGGATCTAGCACAGTGTCATCACAGGGCCTCTATAGGTTGTGGTAAAAGTTTGGACGTGTTTCGAGAGAGGTGACCCCTAAGGCCGCTTGTAAACCGCTCTGTCTCCGAGCTAGTATCTGGGTATCGAGTGGAACGTGTCCGGTTTGTGCAGGAAGTGCTGGTCCTGTCTCTCCGTTGGCCTCGAAACTTCTTGTGCTCTAAGAGGGGGAAACAGCATGGCACATGCCACGGCCTCACATTTTTCAGGGACACGTGCAATATTCGAGAAATTTATTGCTCTGCTAGGGCTTCATCGCGGGGAATTGCAGATGAGCAAGGTGGCACATGAAATCTTGCCCGGTAGCGGCATGGGAAATCATTTGTGATGTCCTTGTGGCATGCCTAGGCCTTGCAGACACGAGGGAGGGGAATGCCCTGCCACCGGGTTACCAAAAGTACCTCGGTGTAATTCCTGATGCAACTGTTGAAATCCTCGGAAAATCGTACGATGGTAGGATTGCTCGGGATCTTGCACGGTGTCATCACAGGGCCTCTATAGGGTGTGGTAAAAGTTTGGATGTGTTTCAAGAGAGGTGACCCCTGAGGCCGCTCATAAACCGCACTGTCTCCGAGCTAGTATATGTGTATCGAGAGGGAACATGTCCGGTTCATGCAGAAAGTACTGGTCTTCTTTATCTGTTGGCCTCGAAACTTCTCATGCTCTAAGAGGGGACAACCGCATGGCACATGCCACAGCCTCGCACTTTTCAGGGACGCATGCAATATTCGAGAAATTTATTGCTCTGTTACGGTTTCATCCCTGGGAATTGCAGATCAGCAAGGCGGCACATGAAATCATGCCCGGTAGCGGCATGGGAAATAATTTGTGATGTCCTTGTGGAATGCCTAGCCCTGTATAGACGAGGGAGGAGGGCATTTCCGAGTGCAGCTCTCGGTACGTGTAGCATTTTTTTAATGCAGCTCTCAGCATAACATAGACTAGATATTAGGTTATATCCTTTACCGAGGTGACTCTTTGAAAAGGTGAAACCCTAGATCTAGGTCTCGTACCTTTACCGACAGACTCTCGGTAAAGGTCGGCG